AGAATCAGGACTATAAAGAACTGAATCTGGATACATGGCTATATTGGTGAATACATACATGGAGAGTAAAGATACAGTATATGAAAATATGTTCATATAAGCTTTAAATGTGTTTTATGTTTGTTATTTTTAAACAAATGCACAAAATAGACTGCTCTAGTACAAGCCTCTATCACAGCACCCTGAGAAAAAAGAAATAAAACTACTAAAACACAGAAAAAAAAAACAAAGTAATATATTCCAGTATGATGGAAAGGCAGTAGCATTTTGTCAGTGAAGAATATCGCTCAAAGGGTCAAATTGGCCTTATGCTGAACAGCCAGAGCACTAGTTGTATGTCACGGTGGCATATTAACTATGTTGTTTGCTTTATTTTTTTGTGGCTAATTGAACTTGTCCTCCTTGCTAACTTTGTCTCACGTGGGACTTTTGTTTTCAGAAATTTAAAATGCATAATGTGTCAGTGTATCGAGACTTTAAACAAGAGGTAATGTGTTTCTCCCTAACCTTTCATTCCCTCGTTCCTGGCAGCATTGCGGAGAAGGTTATTATTTGGCACTTCATTAAAAGGCAAGCCGGCCTGTCGGTGGAGCAGACCGCCCCTGCCAGTTAACAGTCGTGTAGAGCAGCTGCGCAGGGCAGCAGTGTGGTGAGAAGGCTGGGGATTGGTGATAGGATTGGGATTTGGGGTCAAAGGACTCATCCAAGGTGGGACATGTTACAGTAACCTTGAGTGCCTCAGTTAACCCCACCCCCCTTGGTGTTAATGAGTTCAGAAACACCAAAATAACTTTGGATTAAAGAATCTCCTGAAAGAAGGAATTATTCTGTCACTTAAATAGATTGTTTTGACAATATGTGCTCTCGTTTCAGTCCCACTTTACTTTGCATTGTGGACATACTGTCATTAGGAGTTACAAAGCACCATTAATAATGATAAATAAGCGATGGTTATAATGTGACCCTTTTGCTCTTCTGTTTAAAACACGAAACCTTGGATTTGTTTTTTGTAACAGGCATCCTAAGTGAACTTATTATTTGCTTTTGTCACCTATTAAAAATGGCCCTGCCCTTGTGCATGATCAGCACCTCTCCCGCTAGTCAAGCTGTCAGGTAGCTAGCTACACAGCAAAGAAATAAGCGGCTGCAGTGACCTTGGATCTGAGAGATGGGAAAACCACACTGTGGAGAAGTGAGAGATGCTTTAAGACTCAGATTGTTTTGACCAGGCTCCCTCTCCACCCACCACATGTCATGCAAAGTGTGTGAGACTCTCAGGGAGATTGCTATGATTGGGCTCTATTATGCAAATGATAGGAAACTTATAAAAAAAAACACTTGGGAGAAGACAGAGATAGATAAGTAGTGAGGGAGTGAGAGAAACAAAGAGACAGAGAAATAGAGTCTTATAGCTCAGGCTCAATACCCCCCACCCCCCTTCACTGCCCCCAGTTCCTCCTAGAGCTGAGGGTGAGCAGCTTACTGTGGAGAAGTGAGAGATGCTTTAAGACTCAGATTGTTTTGACCAGGCTCCCTCTCCACCCACCACATGTCATGCAAAGTGTGTGAGACTCTCAGGGAGATTGCTATGATTGGGCTCTATTATGCAAATGATAGGAAACTTATAAAAAAAAACACTTGGGAGAAGACAGAGATAGATAAGTAGTGAGGGAGTGAGAGAAACAAAGAGACAGAGAAATAGAGTCTTATAGCTCAGGCTCAATACCCCCCACCCCCCTTCACTGCCCCCAGTTCCTCCTAGAGCTGAGGGTGAGCGGCTTGTCCTGATTTTTTGTGGACAGAGTTGCTTGAAGAACCAGCAGGTGCTATGGACATCACTCTTCAGGCTGGGCAAGCGTAGGCCCTTCGTTGCAAGGCCCCCCAAGGCAAAGGAAGAGCATAGGAATCAGAACCTGGGGGAGGGCGCTCAAAGCAGTGCCTGCAAAACAGTAACATTACATATAAGTTCTATTAGTGTGTATGTGTTTCTTTTTTTTATTTCCTAAAAATCACTTCATGAGTCTTACAGTTTGCTTGCCAGTAAGCATGACCCTCAGGGCGTTAGAGCTAGAGCTTTCACTGTGTTACACCCTATGTTATTTTCCACTTGAACAACTAGAAGAAAAGGTTCCACCAAGATTTCATGGTGTTTGATAGAAAAGTGCAGCAGGGAGTTAGAAAAACAATTGTGTATCTCGCTGTAGTCCAACAATATACTGCGCTCAGGGCACTGGCTCACTTTGAGAAAATGAGGATTTCTTTTTTTTTTTTATCTTCCCTTGTCTTTTATCATCTCCACTCTTATGATAATTGCCCAAGATTTGAAATGCTCTGAGCTTTGTTGCATGACAACAAAGTTCATTCAGTGATAATGTCCTGTTCCTGTTTCGAAATGACATATGTTTGTGCTCATGCAATGCCTCG